CTTTCTTTCTTTCTTTCTTTCTTTCTTTCTTTCTTTCTTTCTTTCTTTCTTTCTTTCTTTCTTTCTTTCTTTCTCCTAGGGCAGGGGCGTTTGCAGGGTGTGGTCAAAAAAGTCAAGATGGCTGCCACAATAGCACAACCCATGTAAACAGGCAAAGGTTCAATCACACTGTGGTAGCCATTTTGACTTTTATGACCACACCCTGTGGATACTCTTGCCTTAGGGTGTATCTTGGGTGAACTCAGCTGGCTTCTAAAGCAAGGCTACAGCTTAGCAAGCCATGTGAATCTAGCTAATTGTGGTTAATTCAATAAACTCTGAAGATTCTCTGTCTTTTATTTCTCAAAATGTAGATGGAGGGATCCTGAAGCATTCCACCACCCTGACAAACCGTCAACGTGGCAATGAAGTGTCTGCCTTGCCAGCTACTTTGGATAGTGAGTTTTTTGTGTGACATGCAAGAAAACTCGGTTAGGTAGTGTGATTCCAGCAGCCGGACCATATTCAGCTGTCAAAATTAAGCATAGAGGGGGAAGACCTGTTGAGGGGGAAGACAAACAGGCATTTAAATATTTTATCTGAGAAACAATGGGAGAAATTTATTTATTACAAATAATAAATACATTATTTATCTGTATCTTCATACTTGTTCATAAAACTCAGGGCAGTTCACAGTCCATGCAAATACATACATGTAAAGCAACACAGCTCATCACCGTGAAGCTCCAGAATCACAGAATGTAAGGGCTGAAAGGGATCTTGGAGGCTATCCAGCCTAACCCCTTGTCAGTGCAGGATTCCACTGCTATAAATCCAATTGAATAAAATTCAAAATTCAAAGATTGACATTAAAAACATTTTTTTAACTTTTAAATGGCAGCTTTCATCCTCCTCCACTTGTACACTACTGTATTTGTTTCTGTTCAAGAAAACTAGTTCCCTGAAAGAAAGAAAAAATTTCTTCTTTGTTCTGAAAATCTTCTAGGCCTTTGTCAGTATCTGATGCATTGAACTGATTCACCAGTTCAAGTTGGGCCAATTCAGTTGTTTTTTGAACATGCATTTTAATGGTTCAAATCTGGTCTGAATTAGAGATGAGGTCCAAATCAATTTATATTGATGGATTTGAATGTTCCAAGAGAAACAGATGCAATTTGTACTCCCTTAATAACAAGATATATGCTGTAGAATGTACTGGATGGAAAATTCAGTTTCCTTATAATCTAGCTTTTGTGTTCATTGTTCTTTAAGTCAAGTTTCTGTCCTGTGAGTTTGTCAAGATAATGTGTGTTTTGCTAAAGGGATGAATAAGATTTCTACATGTTTAAAAGCATAGGGCTCCACCCCTTAGCTCCTTCCCCCCACCATGGAAATCAGAATAAAATTATGCAATATAAAACTTATTTGAATTAGCAACTCTATACCTCAGTAAATCTGGAATGTGCTAGAATGTTAAAAGATATTCCAAGTTGCATTATATAGAATATTTCATTCTTATTGATTAAAAATTTTAAATCGCCCTTAAGCCAAAGCTATCTTGATCAGCGTCTTCTCTTTTGACTTCTAGCTCTGTCTATTCACCAACTTGCAGCTCAAGGTGAACTGATCTTGTTAAAGGAGAGCCTCCGAAGAGGTGAGCCATGAAGTTTCTCAGCTTCTTGTTCTTCTGCTAGAGCAGTGTTTCTCAACCTTGGCAACTTTAAGATGTGTGGACTTCAACTTCCAGAATCCCCCGGCCAGCATGGCTGCCTGGGGAATTCTGGGAGTTGAAGTCTACACATCTTAAAGTTGCTCAGGTTGAGAAACACTATGCTAGAACAGTGTTTCTGAATTTTTTTTCTCTCTCGGGACCCCTTCCCGTGTTTAAAAATTATGGAGGACCCCAAAAGAGCTTTTCTTTGTATGGGTTACATTTACCATATTAAACATTAAAATTTATTTTATTTATCATATTTATATAGCCCCCCATCTCTCACAAGGTGACTCAGGGCAGCATACAACAATTAAAAAATAAATAGATAAAAACAATTACCCATAAAAAACTGTAAAAGCACACAAAACAGGAGGGGATAACATTAATAAGGCAGCTATCGTAAAATCTCCCCGGTCCCCTGGGAGCCCCAGGCCTGATCACACAGCCAAGTCTTGAGGGACTTGCAGAATGCTAAGAGGGATGGAGCTAATATCACTTCTGGGGGGAGAAGATTCCACAAGGTGGGCACCACGGCAAAGAAGGCCCGCCTCCTAGGACCCGCCAAGTGTAATTCTCTAGCCGACGGGACCCGCAGCATGCCTTCTCTGCCAGACCTGATGGGACGGGCAGATGTAATCGGGGAGAGGCGGTCCCTCAGGTAACCCAGCTCCACGCCATGAAGGGCTTTAAAGGTCAAAACCAGTACCTTGAACTGGACCCGGAAGCAAACTGGCAACCAGTGCAGCTCACGAAGCAGAGGTGTAACGTGTACTGCCCTAGGGGCACACATAACTGCCCGTGCCGCTGCATTTTGCACCAGCTGATACTTCTGGATACTCTTCAAGGGCAGCCCCCTGTAGAGCGCATTACAGAAATCCAAACGGGAGGTGACCAGGGCATGAGTGACAGTGATCAGGTCCTTCTGATCTAGGAATGGGCGCAACTGGCACCCAACATGAAGCTGTGCAAAGGCCCTCCTAGCCATGGCTGCCACCTGCTCTTCGAGCAGGAGTCATGAGTCCAGGAGGACCCCCAGATTGCGCACAGGGTCTGTCTGGGGCAGTGCAACCCCATTCAGTACCAAAGACGGCATAACTCTAGAAGGCCCCAGAACCCACAGCCACTCAGTCTTGCCAGGGCTCAGCTGAAGCGTGCTGTTCCCCATCCAGACCCTCACAGCCTCCAGGCACCGGGATAGGACATTCGCAGCATCGCTTAATGCGCCAGGGGGAGAGATGTATAATTGGGTATCATCAGTATACTCACCCAATGGTGACAGATGAGCTCACCTAGCAGCCTCATGTAGATGTTAAATAGGAGGGGGGAGAGCACTGAACCCTGTGGCACCCCACATAACAGGAGCTGAGGGCGGGATCTCTCCTCCCCAATCACCACTGGCTGGAATTGGCCCTGGAGGAAGGAGGTGAACCAGCACAACACAGTGCCGCCCACCCCCAGTCCTCTGAGCGGATCCAGAAGGACACCATGGTTGTTGATATCAAAAGCTGCTGAGAGGTCAAGTAGGGCAAGGATGGATGCACAACCCCCATCCCACCCTTGCCAAAGATCATCCAGAAGTGCGACCAATGCTGTTTCCTTCCCGTACCCAGATCTGAATCCCAACTGAAAGGGATCCAGATAATCCACTTCATCCAAGGTTCTCTGAAGCTGTTGTACAACCACCTTCTCAATCACCTTCCCCAAAAAGGGGAGGTTAGATACTGGATGAAAATTGTCCAGTATGGTGGGGTCTAGCAATGGCCTCTTGAGGAGGGGGCGAACCACGGCCTCCTTAAGAGGTGAGGGAACAACCCCCTCACTCAAAGTTGCATTAACCATTGCTAGAACCCCCTCGCACAACACCTCCAGGCTGCTTTCATAAGCTAGGAGGGGCATGGATTGAAAGAGCAGGTGGCTGAGCTCACAGCCCCGAGGATCCTGTCCACTTCCTTGGGTCCAACAGGTTCAAACCGTTCCCAGATAACAGGGCAAGGGTCCTCCCTAGGCACCTCCATGGGACCTGCAGTAAAGCCAGCATCCAACTGAGAATGAATCCGAGCAATTTTATCCGACAGATGCTGAGAAAGGTGGCTGGTGTGGGTCTTCCGGGCTGTGTGGCCGTGTTCTGGAAGTTTTGTTTCCTAACGTTTCGCCAGCACCTGTTCCTGCACTCTGAAGATGCCAGTCACAGGTGCT